AAATATGCTAGTACATGTAGCTAAATATGCTAGTATAAGTAGCTAAATATGCTAGTATAAGTAGCTAAATATGCTAGTACAAGTATCTAAATATGCTAGTACAAGTATCTAAATATGCTAGTATAAGTAGCTAAATATGCTAGTATAAGTAGCTAAATATGCTAGTACATGTAGCTAAATATGCTAGTACAAGTATCTAAATATGCTAGTATAAGTAGCTAAATATGCTAGTACCGTATTTTCTGGCGTATAAGTCGCTCCGGAGTAAAAGTTGCATCAGTCAATAAAAGCATCATGAAGAGGAAAAAACATACAAGTCTCTTTGGAGTATAAGTCACATTAATTACGCATTTATTTAATGGTCAAAACCGCTTCATTTTGCCTGGCGGCGCAGCAACATCCACCCATCGCAGCTGGAGCTGCTAGCTCTCCAGCGTTCCTCCACCTGCACCAGCTGAGTGAAGTGGAACGCATGGCAGGACTCGCTGTCACAGTTCTTTGAAATTTAACAAGATTAACACTTAAAAACAATTATTTGTTCGACATTACAGCAAAAGTGCGTCTCAGTTTAACTTTTCCTTAAATGCACTTTAATGGTCAAAACAGCTTTATTTCACCATCCATCCACCCACCCATCAACCCATCCATCCATCGTGGCCGGAGCCGTGAGCTCTCCGGCGTTCCTCCGCCTGCACCAGCTGCGTGACGCGAGTGCACATGGGAGGACTCGTTGAAGTTCTTTCAAATTTAAAGCGTCAGTCAAAAGCAACGTTATAAATATGGGAACAAAACATATGTAAGTCGCAGGATTGAGAAATTATGCAAAAAGCTGCGACTTATATGCTGTAAAATACGGTAGCTGTCATGTGCAGCCACTTGTTGAGCTCGTGGTCAGCAGGCAGCGAGCGGTACGATCATATCGTCCGGTCCGAGCGCCGCCAGGTGCTGTTCCTGCACGTTTAACTCCACAGTGACTGGACAAACCACGTGTTCGCACAGAAACGAGCAGCGGTTCTGGAAGTCGTGCCCATCGTTCACACATGGCAGCACGGGGCAGGAATAAGGTGGACAGGCCATGAAAGGAGCTTTGGGCTGCACTCTTTCTTATTCATGACTGAACAGCTGGAAAACGTTTGAAGTCATTTCAGCAGAGATTAAAGTCTCGTCACTTATTTGTCGACTTTAACGCAGCAAAGTGCTTCTTTCCATCACACAACTGAATCTTGTTTATGCAACTTCTTTAGGACAATTTGACTGAAAACAAACAAGATATTTGCTACGAGTGACTTTTGATGAATTTGAAGAAGTTACTTTGCGTCACGCTGGCTGACTCCACGGAGGATTGAGAACAGACTCCTGTTTGTCACGTTTCTGTCCACGAGTTTGTCAGCCTCCGTGAACAACACTCTGATCGTCCAGTGCTGTCAGCTTTCGTTGATTAGTTTGGTTGGTAATGATGATGGTCCCACCCCCCTGAGAACACTGACAAACTGAAGTGCTTCGTGGCACCAGTGGCTCAGTGAACCAGTACTGACAGAGCTGGAAAAGTCAAAGAGTTTCCCAAGATGTGGACCTGAGTTCACAACACTGTCGTTCCGACAAAGAGTTGCCTCAAAACCTACGAATAAAAACAATGGCCTTCGATTGTGTCACCTCTAACCTGGACAGGACCGACATGTCTGCCCTCCTCCTCGTGCGTTCTTCTCTGTGGCTGATGTCAGGGCCGACAGGAACTAACGACACATTTTGATAGAACATCACTGAAAAATAACCAGAATGTAACTTTAAACATTTTCACACACAACTTTTCTGTTTTGAGTTTGTTATCACAGATCCATCCATCATCCATCCATCATCCATCCATCATCCATCCATCCATCATCCATCCATCATCCATCATCCATCATCCATCATCCATCATCCATCATCCATCCATCCATCATCCATCCATCATCCATCCATCCATCATCCATCCATCATCCATCATCCATCCATCATCCATCCATCATCCAT